GTGAATGTCACTGATGGGATCAGCACCCTTGCCACAGTGGGGTTACTGCTCTGTGGGTGAAGGTCTCTCTTGGTCAGCACCACCAGAAAAGCTAGCAAGGTGATTCTGGCTAGCAAGCTCCAGGCTGTGGTGGCCTCAGGGCACAGCAGCAGCACACTGCCAACAGCAGGTCCAGACATCCAGCATTGGCTTCCCAGTGCAATTCCTCAACCGTCCTTTACGGTTCACTGACTTGCAGGGAACAGCACACGTCTAACAGGTGCTGTTCAGTGCTGACTTTCCCTGTCCTCATCACCAGAGCTGGCCAAAAATTGTGCACAGAGGTGTTTTGGGCACTTTCTTTGAATACAGACTTGTTAAAGGGAGAAAAACCCAGGTGACAGCCAAAGGAAAACTGATGAGGTCCTGCAAGGACTACATGATTTGTCAACTCAAGAAGGCAGTTTCACAATGTGTGTTTTTATTCACAAACTTGCAGATTCTGTCAGCACTTACAGAGGCAGAAGAAAGCTTGGAACAGAGGTGCTTTAGAAACCATACTCCCCCCTCACCCCGTGAGTGGCAGCACCAACCACCCTTTGTTGCCACGCTCAGTCAAACACATCAGTACCCTGCTCTGCCCTGCTCCTATCCCACAGGCCCTGCAGGGTTTCTGACACCAATGACACCGGAAGCAGAGCTGGCTGGAGGAGAGAGAAATGAAGCAGAACTTTTCTATGGCAGGTGTGTTTGCAGAGGAAACACATAAATTCATCTCCAAACACTAATGCATTCCCCAAAGGTAGGTTGCAAGAATAAACACATCTATGATGCTTCTATAGTACAAAGTGGCAGATTTTACAAAGTCTATGTTTATGTTTACTCAGCCACACTGCTTCCACTAGCTGACAACACAAACAGCAGTCAGAAGTCAGCAGGATGCAGCTCTGTTAAAGCAAATGGCAGCACCCAACATTTGTATCTTGATACAGTTTTTCTTCAAGGCCCCTTTGCAGCCAGCACACACACAGCTGACCCCACCAGTCTGGCCTCAGCAAGAGCCAAAGAGAAGTCTTCTCTAATTGTTAATTTTAATTATGGTCATTCTGTTCCAATCCCTCTCACAAAACAGATGTTTTCTACCCTCCTTTCTCCAGCAAAGTTTCCTATGCTGTGGATTTTTTGTCATGAATGATGAGCAATGCAATATATTTGTTAAAATGTCCCTGTAAACCATGAGGAGGATAAAACCAACTGCTAGTTTCACCACTACAATATTGAACATCTGCTCCATCTGTTCCAGGAAATGGTGATGGGTATCTTGCTACAATATATTACACTAATTTTTCCAAGATATTTTTATGTTTGGTTATTTAAATTGCAGTGAGGTATTTTACTATCACACAGAACTTCCATAACCACTTCTAAACTGCTTCAGTAACCTAAATCACTCCCTGCTTACACAACTTTAGTGCCACTGTGGCAATGACATCCTGCCACTATCAAGCCCTTTGCCAAAACTGAACCTTCCTCATGGGCCTGGATAGAGCATGACAGGAGGAACACTGCCTGAGTGCAGAGGGAGAAAGGAAGGATTTAAGAGATTTCCCTTAACACGTGCTGAGCCTTCCCAGCTTCAGAAGAGCTGTGTAACTGCATGAAGGTAGCAGTGTTTCTCTTACCACATTTTAACAGCATCGCTTAACATCACCAATTCAAACACAACAATCAGCATTCAGCCAAGTATTTAATCACTGGGGAAAGAAAGACTGCTGCCCATCTTCTCCATTTAGACTCTGAAGAGTGATGTTATTTGCATTTCATCGTGGATTCCATTTATGAATTGTTTTCATTTTTTAATCACTTGCAGAAGTCTTGAGAGTATAGCATCAACCAGAAAGTCTTCCTTGTTGCTCTTTTGAACTGTGTTCCATACCCATATATACTTAATCGCATATAAACCTCAAATTAGTCCTACTAAACTAACATTATATTCTGCAGATAAAACCCATTTTTGTCCTTCAGCATTTTCTCCACCCACCAGAGGTCTGCTTTTTTCCTATTTTTACTGCATTGATTTCCCTGGTTTTCTCTCACATTTAGAAATGCATGGCAATATCTTTCAACTGAAGGATTTTAATATTATGCAAAGCCCATACCTTGCAACTGCTCTTTATTTTTCAACCTTACTGTATGTCTACCTTTCAAAATCACTGCCATTTCCTGCAGCTCAAAACACCAGCACAAAGAAAAGAGCAGGGCCAACCTCTGGGAACTCACAGAGGTCATGAGTGTCACTTTTCTTATAAGCACTGAGATTGATGGAAGCTGGATATTAAATTCAGAGCTACTAGAGTTAGATCATGTAAGATAGTAATCTATCAACACATTTTAGCAGGCTTAAATGCAAAGCTCATCTGATTCTGAGGTCAGTGGAAATACACAGATTGTTTAAATGCCTTTTTCCACCACAGCCAGAGTGCTTAACACGAGCAAAAAGGTTTTCTTCACCCTCCTCTTAATGGCATGATCTTGATAGGGGAGGGGTGTCAAACTCAAACAGCAGCACTGAAAAGAATTGTTTTTATTCTGCTTTCAACACTTGGGGAAGTATAAACAGAGAATGGCTACCACCAACTCCCTGTGAAAAAAACAGGACAAGGGGATCTCGTGTGCCACAAAGTCCATTTCCCCTCTAGGCAGACATTTAATAATTATTTTTTTTATAATTCCACACATGCTGATCAAGCCTGGTAATTATGCAAGTGTTTTTGCTCCTGTACTCATGAGAGGGCTGTTCCAGAGCCTTACACTTCTGACCCTCAGAAATCTTCAATTCCTTCAACCCACTGCCTTCAGGTGGGCCCAAGGAAGATTATTACTGTGGCAGTAAGGACATGAGTGGCATGACACTAACTTGTAGAACCTAGACTGGAACTTAAAGGCAAATACCACAAGAGATGGGAAGGAAAAGGAGACCTTTCTGGAGAGAAGTCCAAGCTTTGGGAGAAAGGAACACCAAAATCATAGGTAAGAAGTCCAAGCATGCCTGCAAGATCTTGTTTCTCCCACTCCTGTGAATTTAATTTTGTGAAGTATCCTTCTAAAGAGAGAAATCTGTTACAGGAAACCACAAAAATATTGGGATTTTTTTCGAGACACAATATATAATCATAGGTGCCTTGCTAATTCTTTTCTTCTTTTACAGAGCCTTTATTCTTTGAAAATGGCCCTCATTCTGGCACAGGTACCACAGCATCCTGAAGCATTTATCATAAATCATCTGCAGAAACAGGCTGCAATGCAGACATTCCTGACATCGTCAGTCTGGAGAACTTCTACTGGACCACCAGTTTTCCCAGAGGATGGCATCCACAGTGCTCAAAGCACAAAAGGTCAAGACTTTTGATAAGGGATAGCTCCAGCTCTTTCACACCCTCATTTTTAAGGGCCCTGGGTACAATTTAATTGATACACTTGATAGATGACCTGACCTGTCCCTGTCCAATAGGTATGCCTAGTTCAACCAGAAATTGTGCTGCAAAGCCTTACCAACTGCTTGGCAAAGCCTACTTACTGTCTTAAAAATCTTGTTATTAAGTGCACTGTGGAATTACATTCTGTCTATGCTTATCTGTGACATATGTGATCATTTTGTGATATGAACCACAATCCACTCAGCACTGAGAAAAATTACTGTCACAGACATATTTTATGAAAAATCCTTTTGCCAGGATCTTTTCTCCATGTTTTGCTGCTTTGGAATGTGATTTGGAGAACTGTTTACCCAGTATGTGAAATTGTTTTTACGTGATGACCACTGACAGCCACCTGTGTCGAGGCTGTGAGCAGTCACAAGATTTTGTTATTCACTCCATTCCTTTCTTTTCCAGCTTTCTGATGGATCCTTTATTCTTTTTTGTATAGTTTTAGTATAGCATTTTAATATAATATCATAATATAATAAATCAGCCTTCTGAAACATGGAGTCAAGATTCTCATCTCTTCCCTCGCCCTGGGACCCTCAAACACAACCATAAATGACCTCTCACAAGGCAAACCTGAACCAAGGCATCTGAGTCACAGAGATGATCACAGTGCTGGAGCATCTCTTCTGCAAACGTTGAGGTTGTTCAGCCTGGAGAAGAGAAAGCTCTCTCCGGGCTTAGAGCAGCCTTCCAGTACCTAAAGGGGGTTTATAAGAAAGATGGGGACAGACCTTTTAGCAGGGCCTATTGTGATAGGACAAGGAGCAATGGTTTCAAATTCCAAAACACTGGCACAGGTTGAGCAGAGGTGGATGCCCCAGCCGTGGAAACATTCAAAGTCAGGCTGGACAGGCTCTGAGCAACCTGAATTAGCTGAAAATGACCCTGCCATTGGAGGGGGTATTAGAACAGATTATCTTTAAAGGTCCCTTCCAACCCAAACCATTTCGTGATTCTGTGAATTAAGGCACTTAGTGTTTAGTTTCTGTCTAGCGACACTCCTGCAGTCACCACGAGCACTACACGGTGCCCATTCACGCGTCGCTGCCCAGCTGGCCACAATTCAAGCTTCGGGGCCTGAGGCAATACTCCTTTTCTGCATTTCCTGAATTCATGAGGCCGGAATGCACAATCTGCATTTGGCACAGCTGGGTACGACCGCGAGTGCTGCCGTGCCCACAGAACCCACGCTGCCACAGATGAGAGATGATGACAGCCGATGGGGAGCCTCTCACAACCACTGCGGTCACTCCCGGTACGTGCTCTCTGCTGCGCTCTCTGCACACACAGGCGTTTCCCCCTCTCTCTACACACGCACATCAGTCCCCGTTCCTCCGAGGCCGGAGCACGAGGCCGCAGCCCGGCCCCACGGACGGGGCAGGCCCCGGGGCGGCTGTGGATGGGGCTCCTGTGCCGGGATGGGGCTCCTGTGATCTGTGATGGGGGGGCCGTGATCTGCCCCGGGGTGGCAGTGCAGAGCTCGGGGCTGGCACACCCCCAGCCCCTCAGGCTCCCGCCCGCCTCCCTCAGCCCCATCCCGGCCAGGCCATGCGGCATGAGGGTGTGCGGCCAAGCTCCTCCCCGCCGCCGCCGCCCCTCGCCGCGCCGCGGGGACGTGCAGTCGCTCGGCGGGACATGGAGGCGGGCGGCGGGGCCCGGCGCCCCGCGCTGCTGCTGCTGCTGCTGCTGGCGGCGGCGCTGGGAGGCGAGGCGGAGGCGGAGGAGCCGCGCCCGGCGCGGCAGCGCGGGGACGAGCAGTGCCATTACTACGCGGGCGGGCAGGTGTACCCCGGCGAGGCGGCCCGGCTGCCCGTCTCCGACCACTCGCTGCACCTCAGCCAGGCCAAGAGTAGGTGCCGGGCGCGGCCGGGGCTGCGAGCGGCGGGGCCGGGGCGGGGAGGTGCCCGCAGTGCGGCTCGGCGCTGCGGAGCGGGGCGGCGGCAGCGCCACGTCAGGCGAGCGCGGGGCTCCCGAGCCCTTCCCGGCCCCGCGGCAGCCCTGCCTGCGGCCTCCGGGACGGACGGGAGGGCGGCCCGGCTCCTTGCAGAGCTGCGTTCCCATCGTGGTCACCGCCGCCGTCTCACCGGCGTCCAGCGAGGTCCGTGGTTCCGGAAATGGCGAAGGAGCGCAGGGAAGCGCTCCGGGGGATCCCCAGGAATGTTTCGTGCTCGCGCTGGATCAGAACAATGAGCGGGCCCTGTCGTGAGCCGCCGCCGCCGCGCCGGCTTTGGCGCTGCCTTGGTGCCCGTGCTCGGATGGTTTAAATGCGGTACGGCACAGACCGGGGCACAAGCACCGGCAATGGCATCGCTGTGAGGTGTGCAGGGACATCCGCTCAAAGCCCCGTCCTGCGGGGCACGGAGTACAGAGGGATCACACAGATAGTACCTTCCATTTGAAATCCTTTTCCTTCACCGAGCCAGGGTCTGCGTTCGGTTTTAAACGTCTGCAAGCAGATGCTACCAAAAAAAAACCAAAAAAAAGGAGAAGCAGCCAAGATATTTGTAACCGATACCGTTTGGGTTTTTCTCCCTTTGCAGTTTAAGTTATTACCAACAGATGTTTATAACTGCAAAAACAACTACCTTAATTTAGAAAGGGGTCAAGATATGCAGTATTTCATTTAATATCTTTTACTTCTCCTTCCTAATCTGAAGGTCCTTGTTATACATCCTTGGTAACTATATTCTGCAGCTGTGGCTTGTCCTAAGGAAAGGAGAGCCAAACAATTCAGGCACTGTCCAGATAATATTTAATATTCCATATCTTTTTCTCAGAAGCTTTTCCCTAATTTGTTGGATATGTATGTCAATGTCCTTGACATGGCAAGTGTATTCAGACCACCTTGTAATTCCAGCACACCCTATCCTTTGTCTCAGAATTCACAGTTGTATGAAAATAGTACCTGGCAGATTAATTTTTAATATTTTAAATTCAAGGTTAATCCCTTCTGATAGGAACAGTAAATATATTTCATGCTTTTCAACTGGATATTTTTAAAAAGCACAGCTGTCTTCAAGTTAAAATTTGCTTAGGAGTTGTAATTCAATAAACATATGTTACATTTTTAGGCGTTTGTCTTTGACCATGCTGTGGCATACTTTTTTTGAGGACCAGAATTCCAGACAGGTTTCCATGGCTAAAAAGTAGCAAAGTGAATTTGAACTGTTTTGTGCTTCTGGCTCCCACCAGCTATTTTTTAACAGAATAGTGAGAGTACCTGAAGTATTAAAGAGCTTTCCCCTTCAGTCCAGCAGGTGCCTTGCTGGCAGTGCACACAGCGTTTGTTCAGTCAGTCCAGATAAGGTTTGTGTGGCCTTGATTATCAGTGATCAGCAGCGCTCATGTATGAGCACAGGTTGGTCAAATTATTTACTTTGTATGTGTACTGAAGCCTTCATTTCTTCATCATGCTGTACCCCCCTGTTTAGAGCTGGAAAGCAGTTTCATCTTGGAACTGTGCTGCAGGTTGTTTTTCAAGCAAAAGGAAGAACAGCTGTCCTTGGACAGCTTGGTTTGAACACAGGTGTTATACTCTGACTTTTAATTCAACATTTCTTTGCATTTCAGTCTCCAAGCCAGCACCTTACTGGGAGGGAACAGCAGTCATTAATGGAGAGTTTAAAGAGCTGAAGCTAACAGATTATGAAGGAAAATATCTTGTCTTCTTCTTCTATCCTCTTGACTTGTAAGTAAGAACACTGTAGGCATACCACTGATTGCAGCTACACTAGATTCATATTTCATTCACCTCTTTTTTTGAGGTCTTGTATTTTTTGTTTGGTAAGAATTTGGGAGAGAAGAAAGGAGCGACAGAAGAAAATATATTCTTTGCATTTGTTTTCTCATCAGGCATTGGTAATATTGCAACAGTCTTTGTCCTAGAACCATGTCCACTAATTTGTGTCTCCACACAAAACAAACAACTTTGTAGTTACCCAGTTAGGCAGACTCTGTGTTCTGTTTCATGCTGTAAATCAGTGCTGCAAGTAGAAGAAAGCATCCTTGCTAGAGTGTATATAATATATCCAAGAGGTGGCATTTTCCCTTTAAGCTCATCCCATAGCATCCTGTGAGCACTTAGCATTGACATCCTTTACTGAGAATGCAGTAACTTCACTGATTGAGTGAAAACATCTCTGCTTTTTAAAGGACAATCCCATTCTTTTCCACTAAATGAAGATAACAGGACAGAGATGCATAACTGCTTTTAGTATTATATCATCATTAGCTTTACTACTTTAGTTCTTTTGTAATAGAAAAAGTTGAAGATAAATTAGTTAAAACACGCAGATTTGCACAGTAACAACAAATGATAGTATGATCCTCTGGAAAAATTGGCTTATAGTGCTTAAAATCAGCCATATTTGTAAAGTCTAAAAGAAAGTAACTGTACAAGCTCTGAATACAGATTGTAAAATAACTATGGATTTATAGTCTTCAGAAATAATCCATTTGTAACTAAGCTGGAGTCTAGGGGTGGAGAATTTGTCAGGCAGCATTTTGGTTAAATACTTGAAAGAACAATAAAAATAAGCAAAAGCTAAAATAATTTATGATAAATACACCATTTTGAGTTAGGCAGAGAATTTACTGGCTTTCCAATGAAATTTTGACTTTTATCTTGTCTTCAATCATCTAGTACGTTTGTCTGTCCAACTGAGATAATTGCCTTCAGTGACCGAATTGAAGAATTCAGAGCAATAAATACTGAAGTAGTAGCATGTTCTGTGGACTCAAAATTCACTCACTTAGCATGGTATGTATCTTTCTCTTGTCTTTCACTAAACATTATTCATAGTTGAGCTTAGCAAAAGAACAGTACTCCCCAGGTTTTTAGCCTGTGGAGGTATATCATAATATGTGAAAGTGTGATGCTATTGACACAAATGTTTAAAGTAAATTTTAACCTTAGTGTGTGAAAGTACCTTTATTTTTAAGCTTGTTTAATGTGTATTGCTTGCAATATATCGTGTCTCAGTCCAAAAAATACTACTAATACAAAAAGAAAATATTAATGAAACTATGGTAAATGCTTGACTTGTTCCAGGTCACGAGCACATTGGTATAAAGCAAATGCAACTGATAAGAAAAAGGTCATCATTAAGAGATGGCCAAAACTGCAAAAGATGTGAACATTTTGTTCAAGCCACAAATACTGTTCATCTCCTTTGTGTGCAGAACAGAAAAGATGTCACTTGCACTAAATCCTTCTGTCCGTGCTGATGTAGTTTATGATTTCTGACTTGTGTAGGGAATATAAATGTGTATGAGACATACATCTATATTTCCTTTCCTTCCAAGGATTAATACTCCTCGTAAACAAGGAGGACTTGGACCAATGAAGATCCCCCTTCTTTCTGATCTGACACACCAGATTTCAAAGGATTATGGAGTGTATCTGGAAGATCAAGGACATACACTTAGGTATTTCACTGCGTTGCAGTTTGGTTGGGTTTTTGCTGGGGTAATACTTACTGCTTTATATTTAAAGAAGCATTTGAAATTTTTCTTTTAGAGCAGCTTTTGCTTGGGGATTCATGGCAAGTAGCAAATACTGAAGAACACCAAAAATGTAGTCATAATGAGTCAGAAGAGGGGTGAAGGTTAATATCCTGTTTAACAGCAGGCATCAGTAGGTACCTAGGGCAGTGCAGATGTGCAGGATTCCCCAGAACTGCAGTTGCTCAGGGACCTCCCAAGTCCAGGTGGAGTCAAGACTAAGGTTACCTGAAGAGATAGATTTGCCTAAAACTGAATAGTTTCTTTTGGGATCCCTGTAATGCCCTAGCATCTGCAGCATCCCCTGGCATGGCCTGTCAGAGCTTTGTTCTGCAAAGTATATTTTTTTGGTTTTAACTGGAGCTCAGCTCAAGTCCTCCGATACCCAGGTAAAGAGTAGTAGGTTACTGGTGGTGAGTATTACATGGTGTTTGCAAAGACCAAATTCTCCCATCCAGCAGACATAAAATAGTGCATGAAAACACCACTATTATTAATTCTGTTTCCTAACACACAGTTTTTCTTTACCCACAGAGGCCTTTTCATTATTGACAATAAGAGAATCCTTCGACAGATCACCATGAATGACCTTCCTGTTGGGAGATCAGTGGATGAAACACTTCGTTTAGTACAAGCATTCCAGTACACAGACAAACATGGAGAAGGTGCTCTTTTAAGTATTGCCATATTGAAGATTGTTTTACTTAGCCTGGAACCTGTATTAGCTTTTTGGAGGAAAGATGCTCAGTAGCATTAAGAACTGGCCTCATACAGTGACTGAAGTGGTTTGATTGCCCTGCTTGATTCCGTGGTCCCAGGTCCTCAGGTTGTTTCTAGAATAGTAATTTACATTTTGCTTCACATCCATGAGAATGAGAGCATAAAGCATTCCTCTAGTCTGAATTTGGCATGAAGTACCATGTGTCACAAGCATAGCACAAATTGTACTAAATATGAGGCTGTGAAAAATGAGGCCTAATATTTCAGTACATTTTTGCATACTAAAATAATGGAGATGCAGGCCATCCTTGTCCTGTGTCATTCAGTGAGGACCTGTGACAAGTAATGAGTGTTTCCTGTCAAGATACATAGTGATACTGTGGAAATTACAGCACCTTTACTTATGTTTTCTGTATAAGTGCTGTGTGATCATCTTTCCCCAACAAAGCAATTTTACTGTCTTCAGATCATCACTTTATATCAAGAATTCTTATTCCTCCATTTCAAGCATGGGGTGAACTATTTCACATTTCTTTAAATTACTTAATTTGAAGATTTGTTTAGATATGAATGCACATTTAGCAACTTCCAGTTCAAGTCAATGTCTCCAAGCATTTGAAAGTACCTTTATATGAAGGTGCAAATCATTATTCTGCTGTGCTGTACAGACTTGAAACAATAGATGCTGATACTTAGGCTATGCACATCTGACTAAGGAAATTTCCCCACATTTAGTGCAAAGCCAGCTTACAGAATGTTGATTTGCAGTGTTTACAGAATACCACTTTTTTTCCCAGCTTTTACATGAATATTGAGGAGAGCTTCCGTAGACACCTCATTGGTTTTTTTGCACAGAATAACAGTTCTCCACGATTCCTGCTAGCATGTGGGGCATTTTTTCTGCCAGCCTGTCTTAAAGCAGTGTAATGTGACATAACTGCTTGGGCTGAAGCCTCAGAGGGAGAGTTCTGAATAGATTAGAGCTTTACTCCAGAATATGCAGCTGTTCAGATGGTCCCAGCCACACCGTGGTAAGCACATGCTGCAATCCCTTTGTACCTAAGCAAGGTTACAAATAAAATTAGTCTCTTGTGAAATCTTTGAACTGATCTCTTTGCTAAAAAATGCTCCTAGTTTTGGTTTCAAAGAAAGAAGGGGAGGTCTCTATGTAGTCACCTGAATTTTATTGCAAAACTTCTGTTTTACTAGAATAGGTGTTCATTCCCAGATACCACTTTGCCAGTACTTATTGTAGAAGGGCACAAGAATTACACTAAAGATAGGCATCCATCCAGAGATCTGCAGTTTTCAGGTAACTGAAGTGGTGGTGGGTGGTGTCAGGTGTAAACTGCTAGGTCACCATCCCATGTGTAAAGAAAACTGCACATTTAATAGTTTCAGATATTGACATGTGACACTGTGTGTAAAAATACTTGAGCTAACTTTGTCCCTTTTTTTTTTTCAGTTTGCCCTGCTGGTTGGAAACCTGGCAGTGAAACAGTAAGTCACTGTTTATATTAATATGCATGTAGTACTAACAAGCACTCAGTTACCATTTCTGCTAGAGCCAAATCCTAAATCTCAGCAACTTTCAGTGAGAAGGTATGAGTAATGTCACATTATTAAACTTACACCATTTGGATTACTATTGATTTAATTAGGGGATTGTTTCCCTCCCACTAGACATCTCCCAGTTGTTTCAAACTCCTGCTGGAGTTTGGAAACAACATTCACTTGATCAGCAGTGAGTTTGTGATCAAGAACTTTTTCCTGTTAACACCTGATGAGGGAAAGTTCAAAACTCTTGAATTTGTTGTATTTTCTTGGTTGTTTGTCCATATAAATTCTTGATGGTTCTTACTGCACATCCTGGGCACTACCTAAAAAAACAGAAGTTCCCAGGCTGCTGTGGTATGTGCCAGAGCCAGTGCATAAATTCTTGATGGTTCTTACTGCACATCCTGGGCACTACCTAAAAAAACAGACAGAAGTTCCCAGGCTGCTGCGGTATGTGCCAGAGCCAGTGTCACTGTCAGCACTCCAGCAGGGAGCACTGCTTTGCAGTGCAATTGCCCTCCCTTCTTTGCTACTCCTGGGCTCCATGTGACTGGAGGCAGAGGAGCCAGAGTTCACATAAACACTCACTGAACTTGTTTGTGTTCCCTGGCCCAGAGCGAGCCTCAGCAGAATAATGAAACTTTCACTGAGCTGCCTCGTTCAGATGAGATCACTGTCACTTACTTGAGCATGTGGCTTCCTTCTGAACCATCTGGTGATGACAGAGCACTGTTGTTAAAGTGCTGGCTCAGCAAAAACCACGTCCCAGCAGCCTCTAAGCAGAGTTAGTGAGCACTGTACTTGTTAGTAAAACCAGTGGAATGTTAAACCGTGTTTCTTTGCTGGATGGGAAAGTTTCCTAGGATGATTTGAGGCTGGGAGTCAACTTTTTCAAGCTAGCAGAGGAGTGTCATAATGGGGGAAGCTGGATATCAAGACTGTAAAATGAAAGAGGGCTGGCTGGCCCAACATTCATATTTTGGTACTGAAAACTTCTGCCCTCCATAACTAGGATCACCTAGATAACATGACATTGATATTTTTTCTAACAAACAGTCTTACAATGCTGATACTAACAGCATTGCCAATTTAGTAATGTGAAACAGTACATAAGCATTCTCCACCTGCTCTGTACAAAAGATAGAGACAATAGCAGAGTAGTAGAAAAAGCCTTTCTCAAAGATGTAGTCATGCCTTCTAAATGTGTTTGATTTAATTAGATCAAACCAGAGGAAGCCATGAGAGTGTGGTGGCCAAGGGAAGAACTGTAAGTAAATTCTGAGCCTCTGGATTACAGATACTAATTTACCAAAATATCTTGCTTTTGGGGCAAGCTGTCAAAATCCTTCCTTTGGTAGGCTGCACTCTCTCATGCCTCAATTGGTTGAATCTCTCTGCTACTGCTGTTAGGTACCTTTAGAGATGAACAGTAATTAGTAGCATATCAAGTGATAAATTACTCTTCAGTGTTGCAAGTGAGTTGGCAGTAGCATCTTACTGTGAAAGCTGTTCTAGCTTTACAGTTTGCTATGTTTTTGTGGCTTTGGTTTTTGACTAATATTTTCATTTTCTTTCTTGCACAGATAATTCCAGATCCAGCTGGAAAACTGAAGTATTTTGATAAACTAAACTGAGGCTCGCTTCTGTTGAATTCAATAGGTCACATTCAACTTGATTTTTGCCAATAAAATTTCATTAATTTTGGTACTTTTGTGAGTTTGATTAATGTGTAATGGTAGTAAAACATTGAAGGGCTCATTGTTTAAACAGAAGCCTAACCTGTGTGAAGCAGAGGTACATCATTAGTCATCAGAGAATATTCTTATGAAATACATGTTTTCTCTTTAGGTGGTATTTTAATGCTCAGTCTTCCCCAACTCCACTTAGCATCTTGGGCTTAGATTCATGACTTTTGCTATAAATAGATTTCTTAATTTCTGCAAAAATCTTGTGTGTTTGGTCACATTCTAGAAACTACAGCTGGAAAAGAGCCACTTGGTTATGGTACATATGTCTGTAGTCCAGTGGCAATAACTTAAAAGCCAGGAATAAGTTACAGTTGCTGAATTAAATTTTGAGTTTGTGTAAAGCCTGAAAAGATTTTTCAACTACTAAGAACATACCCGACACTATATATAAACCATTACATCTGCACTGAAAAAAACACACCTGTACCAGTTCATGTGATTCAAGGGCTGAACCAGTAAATTTTTCTATGCTTAAATTTGTAGTGCATTTGCTGATCAGATTGATTCCGTTTCACATTTTCTGAGTTCTGTCCCTGTCCCTGCACTGTAAACAGATGGATGTGGGGGGTAGTGTCCTGTGCCAATCCACTCTCTAACTGTGGCTCCTAGGTTTAAGGGAGTAGTTGTAGTCTTTCCAAGAGAAGTACTGACATGTGATCATCAGAAACTCTTGTGGCTGATGGACAAGAATTTCTTCTTTCAAGTGAAAAGAACATATCCATGTAAGACATACTTGTGTGCACTGGAGAACCTTTTCCTGAGGATGTCATCTTGCTTCTTCCCACCTCTTCCTGTTTTTTATATAGTATTCTAAAGTCTGTGCAACTGGAAAAACAGCAACTGAAATGTGTGTCAGCTTTGCACCACAGTCATCCTTGAAAAGTCAACAGGCATCTTCCATCTCTAATCTGCACCATTACATTATTACTCTTGGTTGGATCCCACATGTCTGAGAACTCATTTCCCCTTCCCTCACCAGACCACACAATTCCCTGCCCTAGACAAAGACTCTTCACTACATTTCTGCAGAACCACCCAGAACTTGCATTTGTCCTGTGAAGTTACATGATTTTGTGGACTTGGGTGAGTATTGAGCAGCTCTCCATGTTAGTCACTGCAGACACAGAGCAGGAACAGCTGCTTCCTTCACTTCAGCTCTGATACAAATAACACCTACACACATGCCATGGGCAGAGGGAACCACAGCCAGGGCAAGCAGAGCTTCACTGAGCCTCAGCCTCCCTGTTCCTGGGAGGTCTGGGGAAAGGAGTCCCTCATCCCATCTGGAGGGTAATGGGATCAATGCTGAACCCCAAAGGCTCCTAATGTGCTGCTCCAGCCCGTGATAGCAAAAACCAGAGGGCTGCTTCTAGAGAGACGTGCCTTCTCACGTGACTAGGATGTAAATCACCTTGAATTTCACTCTGGATTCTGTTTACATCAACCCTGAAGCACCAAGAACAACACAGTGTTCAAATAACTCCAAGCCACTGCAGCGTGAGAAATGCAGGCCCAGCTATCACATGGATATTCAGCAGCAGCCCAAGGCACAAAATGAACACAGTTCTTGTGGCCCCTTTAGAGCTGGTGCCCTGCTCCTGAGAGGCCTTGCCCACCTCTCCAGCCAGCTGGCTCTGTCACACCTAATGCTCTCCCAGCTGCAGGAACCTCTGGCACTGAGCTGGCCAGTGACACCTGATAAAGACAGAGATGAGTTATCTGCCATGTGTTGAACACTCTCCACCCAGCTCATGGCTCTGCAGAGCCCAGTGAGCAGTTACAGCAGCACAGCCACAGGGTGTATCTCTGTAGCAGTCAGCACCAGCACATGTCAAAAGCTGTACACAGCCTGAGTCAAGAACAGAAAATTGTGCTGAGAACACTTAGTGACTGAAGAAAACTGGGGCCATACACATGCTTTGACCATTGCAAATTTAAGTCACAGCAGCATAGCTGAGTAAATGTTCAAGGTTTTTATAAATGCACATTTATATTTTAAACATGGTATGGGATGGCATAGGGTTGTTTGGTTTTTTTAAATGCAGTTCAATGGGAATAAAAAGTATTGGGGAAATAGGGACGTCCTTGAGCAAAGACTTGAGTTGCCATGTGATCATACATATTTGAAATGAACAAATGACCAAGCAGTCTGTTCTTCCAGTACTCCAACTGAGGTTTGAAATAGTGGAAAACTTAAATTTCATACATCTCTGCTTTCCCAAACCCCAGAATATATTCAGGGGCCTCTCTTGGAAGTGCATAAAATGCAGATACCATTGTGAGCATGTCTTCTACAGAAAAAGCAAAAATGCTCCTGCAAGGCAAGTAGTGACTAATAATGAAACAGTCTTCAATTTCCTCTGCTATTTTGGGCAAGCATCCCACACCCCTCTACTGCCCCCTCAGCTGTTAAACCATATATGATGGTGAGGTCTGCAGATGAAAGCCACCTCTCCAAGCAGGATGGATCTAGCTGAGACCTGGATGTCACTTCCAGAAGTATCGAAGAAGCACCAATTCAGATAATGGCACAGATTTTTGATGTTATTAGCTGACGTAGCCCTCTGCAGCCTGCCTGGGTTATGCCCATTCCTTGCCCACAGAAACCTCTTCCTCTGCAAACTCAAGTACATCTAAAAAATAAACACCACGTTGCTGGGAGCCTGTACTCAATGAGCTGGACTCAATGATCTTACAGGTATTTTCCAACCTGCCAATGCCCAGCAGTGCCTCCAGCCTCGTGGACAGGAGCCCTGCAGGGATGAGGATCTCTGCTGGCAGAGTAGTGCTCCAGTGTATTTTCTGTGCAGCTCTGGTCATCCAACACCTTCCACAAAAGGAGTCCCCAGTTTCTCTTTCATGAAAGCTGAGTATTTACCCTTTTATTTTCCTGTTAGCCTGTGACTAGCCCATGAAGCAATGATCTCTCCCATGCCTAGTTAAAAATGTATTCAGAGCAGGATCAGCAATCAAACCAGTGTCACCAAAGGCTGGACTGGACGTGCAGTAAAACCAATTGAGCATGCAGTGAGTTTGGAGCAGGTTTCTGAACTAAAACCTGATCTATGGCCCACATTACACCAGCTCCTGCAAAATTCTTTCCAGAGTGCTGTACAATGTGACAGGGCTGCAAAATCTGACAGGGCTGCAAAGGAATGGTCCTATTTAAAAAAGGGCTATCAGAAGCTGTTACATGAAGTTTGAGTCATTGTAGTACTTTTTTAACCACAGAAAAATAAAAACATTTGAAACAAGGCATTCCTTTGGGCACTGAGTTCAGCCAATCCCACAGAAGTCTCCTTTTATATCACTATTAAGTGAAAGGGTAAGGGGAGGCAATCCTGCTCCTCCTCACTGTATTCCACAATGCTTCACAATTCCAGACATTGCTTCCTGCTAGAAAGCCAGTCAATTAATTATATGTAGTTAAGCTTACTATAAATAAAAAGATTTTCTAGCAATTCCTTTAGGCTTCTGTGGTATTGGTTAGTCATCTACAGCAGTGATAGGCTGGATATAAGTTGCAACATAAACACAACATGAATTACTACGTTGAAATATTTTAATTCTAAATGTGAGAGATGAGAACATTTTTGTCACATACACACAAAGGCACAAAGCAGCATGCACACCCTTGAACAAAGATACCAGAGAGGTTGACAGCTCAGAGGTACCATCTCAGAGTAAAAAAATACATGAGTACATATATATAGCAATAAACAGAAAAGCATGTATCTTTTACATATGTGCATATACACACACACATTCTGTATGGCTGCACGTACATTCTGAAACTATTGTCATTGTGGTATATGATTAAGTTATCATGAACTTTGAGAACACATCAATTCTTCTATGCATCTTCATTTGTGGCATTCATTTTCTTCACTGTGTCCAGAGGTTCTGATGTCACATCTTCCTCCCTACTCTATTACCTCTTCTTCTCTCCAACCCCTTCCCAAAGGCTGAATTTAGAAATTATGATAAATTCATCTTTAAATACAGCTGAAAAGTCAGTAGAGGATGGATTTGGTATCCCCTTAACTTATATGTGTTATAAAAAAGTGATCCAGGTAGGATCACTGAGTCAGTGATAAAAACTGGTAGTCAGGAGTAAAACAGCTCTGAAATAGATCCTTTCACTTCCTGCCTTCCTATGTATTTTTTAACAGTCAACATTGATCCCTGCAACAAGGGGGAAGAAGCTGAGACACAATTTCAGTTCTTTATCTGTGTGGTCAGTCTAACAGAGTCAGTTTTAAAAAGGAAAAACCCAGAAAATACAATTTATCTCCACAGCATCATAACCATTAAAATTTTAATGTCATAGAGCTGAGTCAGGAATGGAGTGTGGCTGAAGAAACTCTATGGAAGGAACCAAGAGCTTACCATCAGAGCAATGCAAGAATCTGTTCTGGATCAGGCCACACCCCTGTACCTACTCTGGAAAGCAATCTAACTTACCCAATGCAGCAGCTGAATCTGAAGAAGGAAAGGCTGATGTGTAACATACTGATTATTACAATGCTCAATTACAATTCTTCACAGGAATAGCAAAGAGCTGCTAGGGGTCATGAACTTCATGCCATCCTAGCACCAAAGGAAACTGCTCCTAACTGTGACTGTCTCAGGCTTTCTTATTCAGAAAGAAAAGCTCAACATAGTACTTTATTTTATCAACGTGGTTCATGCATCTGTGCTGATTGACATAATTACTATTTGCTGCATCCTCTTTTCAAAAGATCTTAAACCTCATGGGGAAGCCAGAATCCATTCTTGTGTATGGTAAGACATCACATTTCATCTGTTTAACCCCTGAGCCCAGCTCCCCTTTGGGTGTCCTGATCAGTTAGGATATCAATCTTGATGTGAATGTACCAGAGAACCAGTTTCATGCTTGTGACATACTCACTGCTAAAAGTTGATGCCTTCCATCCACTCAGCTTCCTGATTTCAAGA